TTAAAATGTAGAAAAAAGTTTTAGAGGTTTACGTGTAGAATATGTTTTTGTGTAAATGTGCGGATGAAAATAAATATGAAAAATAAATTTAAGTAAAGTAAAGAGAATGAAACACGGGCTATATTATGTTGTAGAATTTATAATTACTTATAAAATATCAAAATTTTGAACTATATAAGTGATGTAATATTTAAGCTAATTATTATGCACTCACTGAACTTTAAGAGCTTGTTTGGGAGAGATTTTTGGGGGAAGAATTGATTTTGAATAGTGATATGATGGGAAATGTGTGGTTGAAAAAGAAGAAAAAATTATTGATGTGATGGAAGATATTATTTTATTGAAGAATGTGTGGTTGAAAATGAGAATTGATTTACTGTAGAAAAATTTAATCTCTCCCAAATAAGGCCTAAATGAAATTTCAATTGGGTCATTAAGTGCCTGTTTGTCTACCATTATTGTGATTAAAATTGTGTAATGAATAATATTTTTTGGAGAATGTGTGGTTAAAATTGAAAGAAACTTTATTGGTTTATGTGTAGAATTTTTTTTTTTTTTTAATGTGAATACGTGATTGAAAATAAATATGATAAATAAATTAAGTTAAAGTAAAGGGAATCAAACAGAGTCGTAACATCCACATCCAGACATACATGTTCACAATATCTACCTTTTTCTTTCCACGCTAGCTAAAAAATCCTAGTTATGTTGTAATATTGAAGAACTTCTGTAGACATGGTTTATTTTAGCTCATGTAGTAACTTTTTTAACACAATCCATATTAACATTTGAGATACTCTTAATTGTCACATAAACTAATGTTGACAATTGTGATAGCCAAACATTACTCTAAAATACTTGTTCGAGATCACAATTTATTAAAGGAAACAATAAACCTGCATCAACTCTTCTATTTTGCCAAACTACGATGAATGTATGTTCATCTTCGAAGTGTTAATTCTAAAACTCTTGTCTGCTTGTTGGTATGCATATAGTTCCCATGGGCAGTTATCTAGACATCTAACTCTCAACATTTTCCCTTCATTTTTTTCATTGAATATTGAATTATTGTAGACATCGGTGTCTTTATATTGTCAAAAATCACCCCTATAAGAAGATCAGATTACTAATACCTGGATAAATATATATAAAAATGTCAAACTGATGCTAGAATAGAAAACCATTGCATTACATATATTGAAATTTGGATCATCCATATCACTTGCAAGGTTAAACCAACACTCATTCTTGGCTCTAACAAATGATCCCTCTGTCCCTCTGCCTCAGTATCATTTGGTATGTTTCTAAGTTCATCTGATTCATCGTAATCTGTTCCATCCTGTTCTTCAACACCAATATCAAAACCTTCACTCAACATGAAGTACATGTTGTCATCATTATCATCCACGGGTACATATTCTCCTTGTTTGTACTTAGAATCATTGATTTTTTCTAAAATACCATCTTTATATTTATCATTTTCAGTATGTTCTATAGCCTCAACTTGCACATCTCCCACGTGCACGTCTTGTTCACTAGCATGGATTTCTTTAACAAATTATCAGCATATTCTTTAGCCTTAGCATCCAAGTCAGTTCAACAACAGAATGTTCAATCTCAACATCCACCTCTGCTTCAACGTAGTCAGTATGTTGAAACTCAACATCTTTTACATCAGGTATCTCAACTTGTAGCTCAGTTTCAACCCCTACTACATCATCATTAGGAAATTGAGCATGCATTTTAGCCTCAACCCCAAAAGTAACCTCAATCTCTAGTTCCTAACCTCAATTTCAATCCCATGTACTTCAGCCTCAAAAGTTCTAGCTTGAAGTCCAGTTTCACCCCAGAAATAATCCCTCCCCAGTTTCCATCCCGTACACTTCAGCCTCGGATAATTCAGCTTAAACTTTTGCTTTGCCTCTACCAGTAACCTCTCCTTCAGTTTCCTTAACAACAGGTTTATCATCTCCTCCAAAGTTGGGCTCATCATCTACTTATGTATCATCTAATGTACTATCACTTTCCACTTCATTAACAACGTAACCTTCTATTGTGTCATCACAAGGGTGGACACAGACTTTTTATGGTGGGGGGGAGGAAGGCACAATCAAACATTCAAAAAGTGACCAAAAAATTAAAGTAAGAGATATTTTATTACAATTGTTCTTTACGTGTTCTCATATTTTGATAACGTTCCATAATTAAAGTGGGAAATAGAGAAAAATTTAATGTAGTTTCGTAATTCAAATCAGCAAAGAAATTGAGAATACAATTTTGGTCATCAAGAGCTACACAAACTTTTATAGAATCCAAGTTACAAATTTATATGTACATTCCTCAAATTCTGAAACTTATTTAACAAATGCAACAAGTAAATCAACAAGGGACTCGGAAATGATAAAAATCAGACTTATTTTTGATGCATCAAATACCCGAGAAACAATCCTTGCTCATTTAAGTTCAATCATATTGCATAACTCTTTTTTCTGATTACATTCAGTCGGACTAGATTCTCCTGGGCTAAAAGACTCTCGAAATTTCCTTAAAAATATCACTTCAACTGAGAATTTCACTCTTGAATCTCATACATTACAAGAACGTAACTAAATTCAACTAAAAATTCTTCTATTCATATTCATTGATCTAATCCAAGTATACAATCATTTTACACCAATTACTTTGTTTAGTACTGATTTCAGCACTATAGCTCACGAAATAATTGCCTACTAGCTTTTTCCTTGAGTCAGATCTTAGAATTCTTTGTCGCAATTGAACTTGAAATGGCTATAGAGTGGAGACAGACTTTTCACTGTTTTCATTTGGCAATGCAATTTCCATTCTTTGAGAGTAACTATAAATCATTTAAACAAAGATAAATGAGATTTGAAATTTTGAACTATTCTTGTTCAGTCATTCAGTATTATCACAACCATTCTCGTATCCATTTAACAATATACAACCTTAATTTTATCATGAAGAAGATGAGAGAAAATGAGAAGAGGAGACTCAGGCGAGAGAAAACATTGGTTTGAAATGAATGTTGATTCCTTATCCTTTCATATTTAAAAAATATTCAAAAAAAAAAAATCTTATTTTGGGAGGGGGGGTGCACCGTCCCCCAGGCCACCCCTAGGTCCGCCCCCTGTGTCATCATAAACCTACACGACATAGCATGCTTTCTTCTCAACTTCACCATTTTGATTTTGTTGATCATTTTTTTCACGTGTTAAGAACATTGTCCAGATGCTTACCGGCCTCAACATCAACCACACAAACATCATTATGTACGTTTTCATCCCATGATATCTCAACACTTTAATTACAGACAAATAATTCAAATCAACCATCCTATTTTCACCAAGCAATTTCACTAAATTCATAAAATCTGAATTAGTGACCAATCAAAATGATGCATCACTCAATCTCTTCTTCTCTAACATATAAAGATTTCACTGTGTTAAAATATTCTAACATCTTCATTGAATTGTCCAGAAGAAATCTATTGAAGAATTCAAAGTCGACATAAGTCTACATAGCTTATCTTACCATTTTCTTACACAAAATTTCTCATTTTTGCAAATAAAATTCCACCATGATATACCCGTATACTGAAATATTTAGAATGTTTGCTGAACACAAAAATGAAAATAAATAACATCAAGCCAAAACCCTGTTTCTTTTCCAGCAATGTACATGCACTCAACAAGCGATTACAATATTTATGACGTTCCAAGTCATGAAAATACCCAAAATTTAGAAGTTTGCATTAATTGGAGACATTTTATACACCGCTAGTTAATACAATGAATAACCTTAAATGGATAAAATTCAAAAATCACTCACCTTACTCAGGTTGGAGAAGAGCACCTTGAAGATGATAACCAAAATCTGATGGATTATCATCGTGTTTGTGGGTTTCTTCAGGGTCCATTGTAGAAGACGATGTTATACAGTGATGACGTTAAACAATGGGAAATGAAAATACGTAACTGATATATATTTGATTTTTTAAAAGGAAAAATGTGTTATGATGAAAGTGCCGTAGTTTTAATTGGTTGAAATTATCAATTTTTCCTTTTTTAGGTCAACCGATGGCTTAGCTGACAGATTCCGTCCATTTTTCATACTGATGCAAATTTTTGAAAGGTTTAGAATTATGGTTGGCACAAACTAAAAATTCAAATCCTTACTGAGAGAAGAAAAAAAAAATCACACAGGAAATCCTCTTTTAATTAAGTGCTCAAATACCATGTTACAAAGAGAGGAAATAAATTCTTGACAATATTATTTATAAGGAAAGATACATATATATACAGGCTGAGAAGATTATAGTAGGAAACTATTCTAATTAGGAGACCCTATCCTACATACAGGCCGTAGGATTTATTTACTTCGTAACAAAGAGCACTTTATGGTTAGAGGTTCAAGTGCTACCACGTAGCATTTTACTTACTTAAATATTTTACGTTCCAATTTTACCCTTAGAACATTTTCATTGTACAATCTGCCAGTGTAATATCAATTGGCATTTTGTGTAAATAATACTATCTTCAAGGATTTTCATGTATCACCATATTGATTTTTTTTCGCCCTCATTTATTAAGTCGCAAAAATGCAGAGAATCTTTTCAGTTGGTTAGATCCTATGGCGCTCCTGGTGCCTGTCGGGTGCACACGTTTGACTGTACCACTCAAGACGCAAGTTTGCCCCGGCCGCCGCCTGTGCCCCACTATCTCCGCCACGCTATCGTTGCGGCCTAAAGCGATGGACTGTGTGGAGGAAACTTCAAGCTTCTTCGAAAATGACTCCCGACCCATCATGTTATTTGACGGTACTATTAATCGATGTTTTGGTCTTATAATTCTTTGGTTCTGGAATGTAATTGAAATTTCTATTGAAATTTAGCCCCTTTAAAATTATAATTATCACAAATTTTTCAATAAAATAACCAACAACTTTTTCTCTTTTAACAATTCCGTTTCGCCGGTGCCTTTTTGCACACATTCTTAATCTAAAATTAATTTCTTATAATTGAACTGTATTTAATTTGTTGCTAAAATATAATTTGTAAAGATTTAAACGATAGCGTTGAATAAATGAATAATAGTTTCAATGCTATGTTACAATTTGGTCATTGAGTTAAGCCACCATGACAATATAGTTGGTAGTTTGGTACTTTAGTTGGGAAAATGTTAGATGCTCACGTCAAGATTTCGTAGCTACAAACTTGAACAAGGTTTAAGTTTATTTACAAATATAAAACAAAATAAAGTTATTGTATAAGTTTAATGACCACCTGTGTGTTTAACCCCAATTTTGTACATCATAGTCAATATGGAGCATGTGGCTCGAAATTGCATTCATGATATCGTGATAAGTAATACAACAATGAATATCGTTCTCAGGCCATGTTATCAGATATGGAGTTAAACTAATTGACAATTGTAACTCTTTAACAGTTAGACTGTTGGTAGTTTAGCCTATGTTTGCTGTTTATAAAGTCACTTTTCATATAAACATTTTAGGACCCACAAATTCTATCCAATTTTCCCCCACACTGTTTCTATCTATTTAAAATTTAAACCATTTAGAAACAAGTTGGAAAAGAATTTGATTGGGACTTCACAATTTCGTAGGACAAAGTTGAAACGAATCTTTGGATTTGTTGCAAATATAAAAGAAAACGATGTTATCGTACTAGTTTAATGACCACCTGTGTGGTTAACTCAGTTTGTACATCGTAGTCTAAATCATGGAGCATGAGGTTTTCATGTCAATTGACCCTAAGGACAACCTCGTTAAGGAGGGAAATGAATGGGAGAATTTAGATGATACGGAATGCTATTGAATCATTACGAAATTGATATTAGACAAGTGTGTGTTCATGGTTATGGATTTTAAGACATGCTGTGGAAACTTAAGTTCACTTCATGGAATAGGTGTATGCAACTTATGCAACGGAGGCGTTAGATTTGTCCGAGCCAATGATCGACAAAGGTTTGAGGTCCTTACCTCCAATTAAATGTGATAATATTTCAAATAATTTTGATTTTTGGGATTTTTTTGACATTTAGATAAGATATCTCTCTCACGTAAGTACGTAACTTACATTCTTGACTTGTAAAAATTATCTATGACTGATAAATAATTTGTGGAAGGAAATTTTAAGAAGAGCTACTTTTTCTTTTGATGCAGTTATGTGCTTTATTTTACATAGAAATGTCGTTTATGACCTAGTTAGTATTTTCTGATAGGTCCCAGTCAGAAGCTTGCTAATCAGAAGAAAATAGGGTGAGATAGACCACAAGATTCAATTGAATAAAATGCTTCCTTTCTATTATTCACATAGGTAGCCTTTAAATAAGCCACAGCTGAACAGATTTTCCTAAACTACAGCTAGATACAGTAACTTAAAGAAAATAAAGGAAGTAAAATTAATAACTTCAAAGCACGTTTAAAACATCAAAACAGATGCAAAACAGGAAAACAGAATACTAAATCTTCTCAACAGCTCCATGGACTTGGTCTTATTCTCCAACTGAAGACCACATCTCATCCTTCACCTATCAATACCTCCCCCTCAATTGGACACTTGTCCCAAAGGTCCACACCCAGATGCTGCATCTGAAGGTCTTCCTGGTTGTTGCTCACTTGCTTTGTCTTCATGCTGGTTGTCCTCTGTAATCTCTTCACAGGTAATTTTGCCCGTGTTTGTGCACCCCTCAAGCAGTAAAAGTTGTGATCTTTGGCACTTGTGACCAGCTGTAAATCCATCATTGCTATGGAAACAAAGACCCTGTGCTCTCCATTTTTGCATTTCATCCTACGTGAGCCTCTTCAACGGGGATGTTTGTGTGGATCGCGTTGGAATTGGAAGGGTTGGCTGCGGCCCATTGGTTGGAAGTGGCCGTGTGAAACTCTGTTGGCGGAGCAGCTGCTCATCTCTCATCCAAGCAAGGCTGATAGCTTCCGTCAGCGTCCGTGGTTTGAACATTTGAATGCCTTCAGCTATCTCCGGTTTAGTCTACCCATTAGGGTTCCTATCAATGCCTTTTGAGTCCACCCTTGTACGCGGTTACCCAGCTTCTTCTTGCTGATATTCTCGTAGGGAACTCACTGCCGAATATGTGATAGGGCTTTAAACAAAATCTTCTCCAGCAGTGGGTCTGAATCGATCCCGTAGTTCTTCCTCAAAGATTGGCCACGTCACCTCCCTTCTTTCCTCCCTGCACGTACTGTGCAACCACCATCACCTTCGGTTGGCTTCACCTTCCACATGAAATGAGGCTAAGGAGAGTTCCTGTGTCTCTGCCATGCCTTGGAATTCAAAGAACTGGTCCATCCTATTGAACCATTTTTGTTTGGGTCATCACCAGAGTATTTTGGGAACACAAGTTTGGCTGTTTTGAATGAAAAATCTGACAACTTCCATCAGTTTCGCCTTTGGTGCGAGAGGTTACCTCACGATCATCGTTATAATAGCTGGTACCTTCTTTGTTTGGTGAAAGCAAGCCTCAGACAGGCGGTTGCTAGTAATCTCCAGTTGGCTCAGTATGTCAGTCATTCCAGTTTCCATCCTGTGCATGCCGTCCTGAAGTCCGACAAGTCCTATTTCCAAATTCTCAATCCTCTCTTTGTTGCTTGCCTTCTAACGAAGCTCTGATACCATAGGTCCCAGTCAGAAGCTTGCTGATCAATGACAGAAAAAAATAAGTTAACTCTCTTTGAGTGAGATAGACCACAATATTCAATTGAATAAATTGCTTCCTTTCTAATATTCACGTTGGCAGCCTTTAAATAAGCCACAGCTGAACAGATTTTCCTAAAGTACAGCTACACACACACACACACACACACTTTTACCGTATAGAAAATAACAGGAAGTAAAATTAACAACTTCAAAGCATGTTTAAAACAACAAAACAGATTCAGAACAGGAAAACAGAATAAATAGAATACTAAATCTTCTCAACAGGTCCATGGACTTTGTCTTATTCTCCAACTAAAGCCCACGTCTCATCCTTCACCTATCATTTTCCAGCTTCTAAATTCAATTTGGTATATGTGAACTTGCAGGAGGAGGCTTTATAGGAAGCTAAGATATAATATGAAAGGTCATAGATGTTACCTGTCTTTTGGAAACTTTTTTTATTTTGCTTGACATTGTATAAGTGGTCCTAACTTTTTCTTTCTTAATTCTTTGTTGAGTACAACTTCAATTAGGTGATGCTTTTAAGAAACAAACGATTTGAAGAGTTTTTTGGGAGGGGGGATGTCCCTTGAATCTTAATTATGGGCAAAGACTTGACGTAGACAATGAATGTATTATTGATCATTTCTGCTAAACTAATTGTCCTTTTTGAAAAATATTTTTTTCTGTGAAGACATATTATTTGAATGAATTTATTCTCATTCTTCAAGTTAATTGATTCGTCTGATTTATTTATGGTACCGTGTTCCAGAAAAATTAGATTTGAAGCTCTGCAGAGTGAATCAGGTAGGAAGCTGTTGAGGAGATCTGGTAGAGAGCCTGATGATATTTCGAGTGTTGTACTTGTTGAGAAAGATAGGTATATTCCGTATATCATTATTTTAGTGTTAAAATTGAATTTTTTACGTAATTTCGGTAATGTCTTAAAAAATGTTACCAATCAATTTGTTTTCTCGCTATACAATGCAGAAGTAGAACTCCTCCCTTTAGATGTACGTAAAATTTGAAAGCTGGTTTTGTGGTGGTTCTAGATGAATTTTATGCCAAAAAATGTTACGGATTAAGGATTAGGGCAAAATCAGAAATGTTCTGTCACTTGGTTTCAGAGAGGGTATTGTGGATTGGGTTTTCCATTGCTACAGATACTGAGAGATCCAAAACACCCAGATTCTTAGCAACCATAATAAAACTTGGTCTCTAAATGGAAAAATTTAAACTAAAGATTTTTTTTTGCCAGTAAGATTATTAAAGTAGGGACATGATAAAACTGCAACTACGACCTATGACTGCATATCCATGTTCAATAACCATATAAAAAACCAAAACGCTTTTGACTTTTGACTCTTGACATGATAAATCATAAATTTGAAAAATCCAAATGTTGACGATCATAAAACAAAGGTAATTGAATTTCTTTGTTCCAAGTTCTATATTTCTCAATAATTTTGGGGTCCACAGCATGATTCGTCTTATCTCACTTGTACACTACAGTGACACATTATGAATCGTTGTTAGATTACTACCGAAATTAACTTGTATATCATTGAAGAATACTTAAAACAAATCAATGAACTTAATTACCTCTCTGCAAATTTAGGGAGTGAGATGAGATTGTTTCGAAACCTATCTTAAATATATTTCACTAATTTTACTAATCAATTTAATATCATATTCTTCATAATATTTGAAAACTTGTCGTGAATATCATTTAGAAGACTTCTTGTCTGATGATTTTTGTTGGAGCTTGATTGCAGGTCGTACATTAAGTCAGAAGCTGTGTTGAAGATTATGGAATACATAGATTTACCCTTTCCACAGCTAGCTTTCTTTCTACACTTAATACCACTGTAAGTCATAAACTTGTCTGTTACTCAGTTATGGGTAAGTTGAAATTGGAGATGTGACTTCATTCGTATTGCTATTGTTGCAGATTTGTAAGGGACTTCGTATATGAGAATGTTGCAGATAACCGTTACAATTTCTTTGGTCGCTCAGATTCATGTGAAATATAGAATATTCTAGCTCTGTACCCTTATATAGTAGTAGAAGGAATTTCGTCTTGTAAGTAAATACATTCTATACTTATAGTCAGACATTTCTCCCTATCAAAACTTTATTGGATGCATTAAGCCCCTGTTTGATGGAAATCATTTGGGAAAAACAATGTTTTAAATAGTGAATTTTTGGAGAAAATGTAGTTAAACAGTTAGGAAAAATTTTGGGTTTACGTGTAAAATATTTTATTGTGTGAATGTATAGTTGAAAATGAATATGCAAAAAAAAAAAAAGAGTTGAAATAATTGTTACCAAACATGGGCTAAGAATACTTTGGATGTCGTGTAGAACCTTTTAAGTTTCAAAAAATAGGTAAAAGATTGAAAACGTAGAAAAGAAACAAATGAATGATCATAAAAGGATTTCTGTATTTGTTTGATCACTTGAATTGTGCTATGTTGAATCCCATCAAGTAATGTTCTTCTTTAATCTCCTTCAGCAATCCAATTAAGAAAGTACTAACTTAATTTTTAATTGGTTTCATGTCTAATTATTGGCCTTGTTTTTCAATTTTATTAGTTACTAAAAAATTAAATGGTACATATAAGTTATTTTGTTATATTCTCAGTATTCATGTCACGTGGTGTCTATGTTGTTTCATAACCAGCCTTGGCATTTTTCCAGAAACCATCTAAGCCTTTGTTTGGTTTATGTTTAAAAACTGTTATAAACACTCAAACAACTTTTTATCCACATATTTTGAGGGATCACAAGTACCACCTACTTTTTGTTACCCATTTTTATCCATTTATGATTTAAACTATTTATAAACACTAACAAACTCAATTGTTTTCATTATTTGTCAAATGCTAATCATTTAAATTGAAGTTTGACATGATCTTCCATCTCCATCTATCCTATCAGCCTCCTTCCTGATAAGGAATCTCGTGTTACTTGAGTATTATTTAGTGAGTTTGGTATGTGTAATTGCTTCTGGTTCTTCACCTTCTAGATCTCATGTCGAAAAAAGAATCTACGAATTGTTAGCAACATATGACACGTAAAAAAGTTGCGGTTCAAAATTGAGTTGATATTTGGAAAGTATGTTAAAATTATTGTGGTAAAGAATTTAGTTGGAAGCCGAGTTCGAGCACATCGCATTTAAATAGACACATATTAAGAA